TGCCAGTGTAAGTGGCTGTCAGCTTCCTCCTCCTAAGTGTTGATCCTTTAAGAACTCAGCAGGATGGGAGAAGGATAGGAACAAAACAGAAATTAGTCTGTCATTGGCTGCTTTGCAAGTCATTGGCTTGGGCTCCACCCACCGTTGGTCTCTCTGCCTTCTGCCCCACCAACCCCAGTGGGTACCAAACACCACTGAAAGTGAGTGGTGTATTTTTGAGGCAATATGTGCCACTCTTTAAGCAAAACACAACAGCCAAAGCAATAATGTAGAGATGAGGAACCTTTGGCACTCTAGATGTCTGTCCCCGCCAAATCCCTGTTCATTGGCTGTGCTGACTGGGGCTGATGGGACTTGGAGTCCAGCAACATCTGGAGGGTAAAAGCTTCCCCACACCTGTTGTAATGTGTGTCTCTGAATTTTGCTAAGAGCAGGTTACTGGCAGAGGCTCACCAGTGCCTTGGGGGTTCTTTGCAAACTTTTTATACTACAGGTACATTTCCCTACCCCACCCTGCATTTCCATAATACACATGTGTGCCCCTGGCATGTTTCTTATGGGTACATGCACCAGGCAGCAAGAATTCTCTTCAACACCATTGCTAGCTCCACATAGGGCCTTGGGTACAATTCATTTAGTGGAGCCACTCCATGAATGGGCCTACATGCTGTCAATGCAATTCATCCCTTTGGAACATAGAATGCTGCCTTGTAAAAGGTCAGACCATTGCGTTCAGTTAACTCAGTACAGTGGTACCTTGGGTTACAGATGCTTCAGGTTACAGACTCCGCTAACCCAGAAATAGTGCTTCAGGTTAAGAACTTTGCTTCAGGATGAGAACAGAAATCGTGCAGCGGCAGTGGGAGGCCCCATTAGCTAAAGTGGTACCTCTGGTTAAGAACAGTATCAGGTTAAGAACGACCCTCCAGAACGAATTAAGTTCTTAACCTGAGGTACCACTGTATTGTGGAGTATGGTGGTTAATGGGTTAACCTTCTGAGTGTCCTGTACCTGGGAGGGGCTTCTACGGGAAGTTACGTAATTCCTTTGTCTGTGAAGTTAGTTTCACTTCTGCTCGAGAGCGAGAGAAAGAGCAAGGATGTGTTCCAGCTCTGATGGAATTATTGCTATATTTGCTTGTAAATAAACACTGTTAGATAGAAGCACAGTGTTTGGACTTTTCTTCCTTCTTCTTCTCACACGAAGGCAGTATTGTCTACTCCAGGGTTCCCACACTTGGGTCCTCAGCTGTTGATCACAACTCCCATCCTCCCTAGCTAGCAGAACCAGTGGTCAGGGATGATGGAAACTGTAGTCCGAAAGCAGCTGGAGACCCAAGTTTGAGAAACCCTGGTCTACACTGATTGGCGGTGGCTCTCCAGGGTTTCAGGCAGAGAGTCTTCCCCAGCCCTACCTGGAGATGCCAGGGATAACTGTGGACCTTTTGTATGCAAAGTAGATGCTCTGCCACTCCGCTGCAGCCCTTCCCCAGCCCATGAAGCTACCCAGAGCACCAGGTAAGTAGAGGGTGCTCCTTGTTCCCTGTTGAAGAGGCTCTAGGGGTGGGGAACCTGGTGCTCTCTGGATGTTGCCGGACTACAATTCCCATCATCACACACCATGGGCCATGCTGGCTCAGACTGTTGGGAGTGGCTCCCCACCTCAACACACCAAACTAGTAATGCTTGTGCCTTGCACACTTCCAGTTGTGGCTGATAACTCTTTTTGAAACTAACAGTTCCTTCATCCCTTTTATCTAAACATGAGTGTGGTTGTTTCTCATCTTCAGGGTCCTCCAGGTCTACCAGGCTTTCCGGGAACACCAGGACTTCCTGTAAGTAAGCTTTGCTTACAGCAATACTGAAATAACAATGGCAGAATTAACTGTTTTGTTCTGGAGCGTACACACTGTGTTGCTTGAATGTGATTGTGCTTCTTTTCTTTCCACTTTGCAGGGGCTACCAGGTCAGGATGGGGCTCCAGGACCTCCAGGTATCCCAGGATGCAATGGAACAAAGGTGGGACTGGTTCTGATGGAAATGCATAGCTCTGCTGCACTCCCATCATCCCTGAACATTGGCCATGCTGGCTGGGGCTGATGGGAGTTGGGGTCTAATAACATCTGGAGAACATCATGTTGGCTACCCCTGAGCTATATGTTTTCCATTCAGATATCTTTTTTTTATTTATTTATAGCATTTGTGTCTCCTGCTTTCCAGCCAAATAGGTTCCTTGAATGGCTTACAAGCAGTCAGTTCAAACAAGGCAGTCTCTGCCCACAGGCTTACATTCTAAAACAAAAACATGACACACAAGGAAACAGGGGCAGGGAGGGAAGAGGTAAAAATCAGACGCTGGCACCAGTTCTTAAAAAGTTTTTGTCATGACCGGGTGGTACTGTCTAGGGGTAGTAGGTGCCTGAAGGAACTGGGCTTTCCTGTGAAGATTGAAGACTACAATACTGAGCAGTAGGCATTAGGAGAGCACACTTATTTTCTGTGCCTTTGTCAGCATTGCAGATATAACTGCAAAATTAAAATAATTTGTGTGTGTTTATGAGACAGGATATTTGGGGCTGGGGGTTCACCAGTACTGTATGTGGATGACACCCAGCTCTACCCCTCCTTCAAATCAGAACCTGTGAAGGTCTTGTGTGAGTATCCAGAGGTGTTTGGAGGATGGATGGCAGCCAACAAATTGAGGTTGAATCCTGACAAGACAGAAGTACTGGTTTTGGGAAACAGGGGGTGGGTGGGTTTGGGGGACTCCTTGGTCTTGAATGGGGTAACTGTGCCCCTGAAGGACCAGGTGCGCAACCTGGGAGTCATTTTGGAGGCGCAGGTCAATTCTGCATCCAGGGCAGCTGTCTACCAGCTCCATCTGGTACGCAGGCTGAGACCTACTTATGCACTGTCTTGCCAGAGTGGTACGTGCTCTGTTATCTCCTCCTTGAATTACTGCAGTTTGCTCTACATGGGGCTACCTTTGAAGGTGACTAGGAAACTACAACTAATCCAGAATGCGGCAGCTAGACTGGTGACTGGGAGTGGCTACCGAGAGCATATAACAATAGTCCTAAAGGATGTTCATTGGCTCCCAGTGCACAATTCAAAGTGCTGGTGATGACCTTTAAAGCTCTAAACGGCCTTGGCCCAGTATACCTGAAGGAGCGTCTCCACCCCCATCATTCAGCCCAGACACTGGGGTCCTCCTCCAAGGGTCTTCTGCTAGTTCCCTCACTATGAGAAATGAGGTTACAAGGAAGCAGGCAGAGGGCCTTTTCGGTAGTGGCGCCTGCCCTGTGGAACGCCCTCCCATCAGATGTCAAGGAAATAAACAACTATCTGACTTTTAGACGACATCTGAAGGCAGCCCTGTTTAGGGAAGTTTTTAATGTTTGATGTTTTATCATGTTTTTACTATTCTGCTGGGAGCAACCCACAGTGGCTGGGGAAACCCAGCCATATGGGTGGAATATAAATAAAATGTTGTTGTTGTTAATTTTGTGGGCCCTTGCATAAAATAAATCCCTCCAAGACTGCAAAGCTGCTTTTCCAGGCTGGATAGGTGCCCTGAACAGAAAAATTCCAGTGGAAATATACTGCAAAATTTTGTTATAGGGCCCACACATGTGTGTGTGTCCACATCAGTATTGGTGTCCCAGCTGCATGGAAAGTGCATCAGTCTATCATGGTCTTATGCAGTTTTCCTCCTTCCTTGGAGCATCAGTCTTTTTCACATATATCAAATAAAAGTGATGCAATAAGAGAATATTGAGTATATGGGGGGGTCCTTCCTCATGTTTAAAAAGATCTGCTATAACCCCTGTTATAGCAGGGGTTGCAACACACCTGTCTCCTTTGCTCTTTCGTTTTATAGCAGCATGCATTTGGGCTTCCTGCTGTATTTGGTGATGCATTCAAGTCTTTGTTCTGTTCTCTACAGGGAGAACGTGGCTACCCTGGCAGTCCAGGTTTCCCAGGTTTACAAGGCCCCGCTGTAAGTACAAGAAACTTCCTCCTGTAATTGCTATATGTGGTTGATTTTCAGCTGCTGTTTGAGGCTTTGAGGGGACTGTTTGACTGAGCTGGTTTGCACATAACACTAAGCCAAACTATGACTTTACAAATATGCAGGCTCCTGGAGAGGAGAGCGTGGCCAGTTTGCTGCTCCTGCAATCCTGCTTTTCCTGCACATCTGTGACCTAAGCCATGATTTGGCTTAGGGTGTTGTCTGAACCAGGACTCGTGGCTTGTCTTATAGAATGAACTCATAAATAAGGTTTGTTGTTGGGTTTATAGCTCATTATTTGTCTGGAGGAGGCAAACCATGAACCTGGATTTGGAAGACACACTAAGGCAAACCAAAGCTCTCAGCAGCACAGCCGCAGAAGGATGAGAGGAGGGGTGCACCAACTGTAATCTCCTACCTTTCCACAAACCTTTGTGCACTTAAGTTCACACTAAACCATGGTTTGGCATAGGATGTCACCCAAACTTAGCTCACTGTATTTTGCTTCTGTGCTGTGTTTCTATGGATATTTTATTGTGAGCCTTAGGCTACAACCCTGTGTCCACTTTCCAGGGAGTAAGCCCCATTGAACTCAGAGGAACTAATTGTGTAACTTAATTTTTTAAATTTTAAGTAAGTCCATCATGTGACATATCATATTAAAGCCCTTGAAGTTCTGAAGAGATTTGTGTTTTTAGTTTTGACATATCTCAATACTAGGCTGAGCTTCAAAGATTTTTGTGTAGGCAAGGCCAAAATTGTCATTTTATTTTTTGAAATTTCAAACCCTCATAACTCAAAAACAGGATGAGATGAAAAATTAAAATTTTAGATTTAAACTTAGTTTTGATCATTCAACAAGAAAATTGGATGGCATGAGGTAAAAAAGTTGGATCACTTGATATGGAATGACCCTTAGACCTGTGAAAGAAAGACACAGTAGATCTCTCCACAAGTTTCTATGAGTTTGAGGTGGCCTTCTCCATTGATCTTCATGGCACACAAATGAAATAAATCTGTTGGTTAGAGCATGGCGCTGACAACGCCAAGGCTGCAGGTTCAATCCTTGTATGGGAGAGCTGCATATTCCTGCGTTGTAGGGGGTTGGACTAGATTATGCTCAAGATCCCTTCCAACTCTACCATTCTATGATAAAAAAAAAATGGAGGGTTTGCTTAATCTCTGGCTGCTTTTGCTTTGCAGGTTAACTTTTCAGCCAGGGCAACAGACCAACCTTGTGCACAGTCCTGTGGTAGTCCTGTAGCAGTGCGCCAATGTTTGGCAGTTTCTGGGCAAGCTGCCACCAAGAGAAACATTAACCGTTTTTATAACATAGTTGTTCATTTGACACATCTATAATTCCTAGCAAGGCTAATTTTGTTCAGTTGTCAATTGTCATATTACAGATTGTTTCGATTTCTTTAAAGACAGCTGTACAAAACTTGTGCACCACAAGTTAGTGTTAACTCTACTTAGTCTGTTTTTATTGGATGATTGCACTGATGGTGGTAGTGTATTGTTTTGTTATGAGACCTCTCAAGTGTTTTATATATTAAAACTTCAGCATCCACCTCAGGGCAGAGAGACCTGTCTTTGAATTGTGCTCTTGTCCCACATAGTTTTGAGCCCTAAGAGTTGGTAAAAAGAAGCTCCGTTTATGCTACAAGTGACTTATTAGAGGCAAACTCTCAAGGCTCCTTGAATCATGGTTTTCTTCTAATCTAAAGAGTACCTTTGACAGTATTCAAGTGTTTGACTCCACCTGTTGTATGTTTGAGTGAACTGCAATTTGAAGCAAGGAAGAAACTGCATTTGCTATCTAATAGAAGATTCATAATTCTTTTCTTCTACTCCCCCCCCCCCGCCTTTTTTTTTTTGCTGCAGGGTCCCCCTGGCCTAATAGGGATGAAGGTAAGTTGCCATTTGAATGCACTGCTGATTCTCAAGCGTTCAACAATTACATTTGGTCTAATTATGCATTTTATTGGCAGCTAGCAACTTTGAGAACTCATTCTTGTGGTTGAAAATGGGGGGGGGGATGGGGCAAGGGAGATTGGCATGTCAGCATTGGGGGAAGTTCTTTCATTTACAGTGAGTGCCACCAGTAGGTACATCTCAGACTGAAGTGCACCAGAAAATTTAAGATATAAGGCTACAATTAAGATGATGCCGCAGCACTCTTTACTGAATTTATGGGGTGACCACAGTTTTGTTCAAAAGAGCTTATAACATGGGTGTTGGGCCACAACAATGATTTCTATAGTGCAAAATTATCACAGAACCTGAACTTAAAAAGGTAAAGGTAAAAGGGCCCCTGACCATTAGGTCCAGTCATGAACGACTCTGGGGTTGCGGCGCTCATCTCGTTTTATTGGCTGAGGGAGCCAGCATACAGCTTCCGGGTCATGTGGCCAGCATGACTAAGCCACTTCTGGTGAACCAGAACAGCACACGGAAACGCCGTTTACCTTCCCACCTGAGCGGTACCTATTTATCTACTTGCACTTTGACGTGCTTTTGAACTGCCAGGTTGGCAGGAGCAGGGACTTAGCAAAGGGAGCTCACCCCGTCGCAGGGATTCGAACCGCCGACCTTCTGATTGGCAAGTCTTAGGCTCTGTGGTTTAACCCACAGCGCCACCCGCGTCCCATAACCTGAACTTAGCATTGCACAAAAGAATGTGTAACCAACATGGCCAGTGCTCAGTGATGGAGGGAGATGCGGTGCAAAACTCACGGAAGGGATAATATTGGGGAAGGCTGTTTAGTTTGATGAGAATGAGCCACAGCAAGCCTTAGCCTCTTGCAAGGAGGATTTGGGAAGCTTTTGCTTCTGGTTGTGATAAACTGCAACTTTACAAAAGTTAAGAAAATGAATTTCAATAGGGACAAATGTAAGGTTCTTCACTTAGGCAGGAAGAACGAGATGCGCAAATATCAGGTGGTGGACACCTGGCTTACCAGCAGTACATGTGAAAAGGATCTAGGGGTCTTGGTGGACCACAAGTTTAACATGAGTCATCAGTGTGAATCACTGTGTGATGCAGCAGCAAAAAAAGCTAACACTATCCTAGGCTGCATCAAGAGAATTATATAGTGTCCAGCTCAAGGGAAGTAATAGCAGCATTCTATTCTGCCTTGGTCAGACCACACCTGGAATTCTATGTCTAGTTCTGAGCACCACAAGTTAAGGGTGTTGACAAGCTGGAGCATGTGCAAAGAAGGGCAACCAAGATGATCAAGAGCCTGGAAAGCAAGCTTTATGAGGAACAGTTGAAGGAGCTGGGGATGTTTAGCCTGGAAAAGAGGAGAGTGAGAGGAGATATGATAGCCAAATTCAAATATCTCAAGGGCTGTCACATGGAAGAGGGAACAAACATAGGTTTTTCCCTTCTCTGGAGGGTAGGACTCGAACCAATAGCTCAAGTTACAAGAAAGGAGATTCTGACTAGGAGGTCAGGAATAGCTTTTGGACAGTGGAACAATCTCCCTCAGGAGGTTGTGGACTCTCCTTCATTGGAGTTTTTAAGCAGAGGTTGGATAGCCATCTGCCATGGGTGCTTTAGCTGACATTCCTGCATCACAGGGGGTTGGACTAGATGACCCTTGGAGTCCCTTCCAACTCTACAACTCTATGATTCTATATCATCTGAATTGGACAAATTGTGGTTGATCTTCATTATGATTTGTTTGAAACAAGCCAACTTCAATCTATGATTTTTGATGGTGGCTTGTTTCAGCAAACCATAGTTACGACTGACCACAATTTGGGATTCAAATGTACGGTAACTAAACCGTCTCTTCCATGTGACAGCAGCAGAGTAGGAGATAAGAGGGAAGAGGGTGCAAGCCTGAAGCTTGCTTCAGCTTGTTTTTGTCATACTGAACTATGGTTTAGCCACAACTTTTGAACACAACCCCTGTATACTTCAAATCATTGGTCAGAAAAATATTATGAATGAGTTCCCACAGGGAAATTTCTAAGTTAAAAAAAAATGGTTGGAAGATTTCTTTTGCACAGTTAAGCTCCTATAAGAAAGAAATTGTCACTTTGAGACATAAATGTTTCTGATCTAGCTCTTTTATAATATGTTCGAGTATTCCTTTCTTACTCCAAATTTCTTTCTTTTTTTTTCCTTTTAGGGGGAGCCAGGTGAGATACTGACATCTTTGCAGCCAGGACAAAAGGGTGATCCAGGATTTCCAGGACTACCAGGACTACCAGTAAGTTGATGAAGATGTCACTTTATGATGTCTTGCCTGTGTAAATAAATAAATAAATAAATAAATAAATAAATAAGCGCCACAGCATTAATTGCATTTATGACAGTGTTAGTGATAAGTGCTGAATATTCAGAGCAATAAATACAGGTATAGGTTTTGTGTGTACTTTTGTGTGAACTTTTTGGGTACACATAATAAACAAATTGAAATTATAACAGGCTTCAAACTACCATTAAACTCATAATTTTTTTTTAATATTTTTTTTATTAAGTACAAATTAGAAAACATACATATTTACAACAAAGGAAAATACAAAGGAAAAAGAAAATATATAAACTCATTAATTGAATTGTTTGGTTATTTTTTATCTAATGATAACAAAATGATAGTACATCTTTTAACTTCTGCACAGATCATTGGTGGCTGTGGGAGAATCTCTGCAATTGCAGATAGGCTTATAAGAGTTGGGAGTTGGGACATAGTTTACACGGTTAAATTAACTAACATGGCAATGATCAGAAAGGGTAGACAACTGAGCAATGTCTTTATAGCAAAATACAGTATGTTATGTACTGGACTAACAAAGTTCTAGAAAAATATACTGTACTAGTTGTACATTATTCATTTATTGCAATTTATACTGTTCCATTTTACTTTGTAATATGTTTATGGTGTGTTAAAATTAACTGGGGACTGTTTTGAATGTAAAACCGAACTTTATGGGTCCCCAGATTTACATTTTTCTATTACGTACTGTTTCGGAATCTGCTTTCAAGCTGCAGTTGTGTGAAGGAGCCACCAGGTGGCAGCTGGGAGCTACAGAAAGTCATCCATAGGGCTGTTTAACCAGAAAATCAGGCTCTTATTTAGATCAAAGTGTGTGTTGTAAATGTGTTTATTGCCAAACTGGGGCTGTGCTGCAAACACTGTTGAGTTCATGGGCAGAAGAGAGTGGAAATGGAGTTCACAGGTTTCTGTTCAGAAACTATGAAATCCAGGGAAGTTGGTTCCAAAAGAAAAAACAGCTTTGTTTGCAGTTTGTCCTAACAATTGCCTCACTGTTTCGGCCTGCTATCTGATTCTCTCACAGTTCCACAGTTTTGTGCCCAGCATCAGTACAAGCACATCAGGAAGCTCTGTTTGTCTCCCAGATCAGCGGCTTATTTTTAGTGGGTCTGTTCTTTGAATTGAGCAGGGGTCAAAACACCAGTGCAATTCGTTCGTTCCATTGATTTGTTTCTGTGTGAGCTGAAGACATCAAAGCCTTTCTAAACCTCTCCTCTCCAGTGTGAACAGCAATGTGGTGCAGTGATTAGAGTGTTGGGCATTGACACTGGGAGGCCAGGATTCAAATCCACACTCCTCCATGAAGTTTACTGGGTGACATTGAGCCATTCATTATCCCTCAGCCTAACCTACCTTACAAGGTTGTGTTGAGGATAAACTTGGGAGGGGAAGAAGTGCTTACACCACCCAAAGCTCCTTGGAGAGAGAGAAAAAAAGGGGGGGTATAAGGCAGTCAAATACAGTGGTGCCCCGCAAGACGAATGCCTCGCAAGACGGAAAACCCGCTAGACGAAAGGGTTTTCCGTTTTTGAGTTGCTTCGCAGGACGAATTTCCCTATGGGCTTGCTTTGCAAGACGAAAATGTCTTGCGAGTCTTGAGATTTTTGTTTCGCTTTCCCCCCCCTTTATCTAAGCCGCTAAGCCTTTAATAGCCTTTTAGCAGCTAATCCGCTAAGCCGATAAGCCTTTAATAGCCGCTAAACCGCTAATAGCGCTAATCCGTTAAGCCGCTAATAGGGTTGCTTCGCAAGACGAAAAAACCGCTAGACGAAGACACTCGCGGAATGGAT